GGTAAATATTACACTAATTATCACTTGATAAAAAGGTGCTGAATTCTCATGGACTCCCCAGGAACAAAATAAAACAAAATGGTTGAGAAGGCCCTCCCCCAAGATGGCACTCTCCATCTTGCTGAGCCACTTGTCCATCTAACCACCCAGTTTCAGGTCATCAGAAACTTGACAAAAGTGCTTTCTATCTCATTGTCAAGGTGAAATGTGAAAACACTGAATGGTCATAGGGCCCTCTGTCAAATCCTGAGAGCCACCTTTGGGCAGGCTTCCCATCTGATTAAAAGCTTTTGAACAGCATGCTCTGACTGCAGCCTGTTAGCTTGTTTCCTATCCATTTCACATCTATCCAACCAATCTGTGTCTTACAATTTTTTCCAGTAGGAGGCAAGGGAAACAGTGTTTTGGTTCATGCCTTGCTGAAGTCCTTGTAAGAAACCTCCACTGCTCTCCCTAAGTTAAGTGATCAGGTTAGTCTGTCATGACTTGATTTTGTTAAACCCATGCTGGCTTTCCCCCATTGACTCTTTATTTGTTTTCTAATAATTTATAAGAAGAATTGTTTCATTACTTTGCCAGATATTGAAGTAAGCCAGTAATTTCCTGGTCCTTGAGTCCTTTTTGTATGTAGGCATGACATTTGCCTTCTTCCAGTAATGAGTGTCATCCCTTGATTTTCACAGCTTATCAAATGTCATAGGCAGTGGCCTTGAAACAGTGCCAGTCACTTCTTTTATTTGACACCTTGTGGTAGATTCTGAGTCCATAAATGTATGTGGGTTGTGTCCTTGCAAGAGATCACAGCTCAGTCCATCTTACAGCACCAGTGTGTCAATGTATGCACCACAGCCTCTTGTTTATGTGATCTAGGGTCCAATGGCACTGGCAAAGACAGAGGCAAAGAGGATACTGAACATCTCTCTCTTTTCAGCAGTATTAGTGAAGTTTCAATCCCTGTTTAGTAATGAACCTTTACCTTCCCCCTTTTACGTAAATGGCAAATCCACCTCCGATTTCTTTCCTATTCCACTGAAAGAGTTTGAGCTTTCCAGTTGTGAGCTTTCCTAACAAGTTTCTATGATTCCTCTGGTGTTCATAACTCATGGGTTTAGTATGAAGCTGCCATTCTTCCTGTTTGTTACCCACATTACTGTTATACATGCACTTAAGGTAGCTGGATAGCTGGACTTAGGTTCCTTCCCTTTGGAAATGGTTGGGGAGCATTCTTCACTACTCTGGTAGGTGTGTTTGTCTGCCTTCTTGCTTATGAATATGCAAGTCTTACTGCTTTGGTCCCTATCCAACAAGTTCATTAATTAGAGGAAATACATTTTAGAAAATTTTTGTGAATAGTATCTTTTCCGACAACTGCAATTTCTGTCAAAATAAAAAACATACTCTTTTCTCAAGTACATGGTAGTCAAAATCTTTGTTTATAGCCCTATGTATAATGGATTGAACTTAACCTGTAGTCTTTTAAATTCAACAGAGGTAAAGTTTTTCCATGTTTTGCAATGGTAAGTTTTCCTGAAGTGAATAATGTGAATTGAATAAAAGAATTGTGGTGTTTCTACCATCTTAAGTATTAGCAAGCCAAAGGAAGAAACAAAATGTTATATAAACTGTGTATACAGATTTAAACTTCTGTTTTGCACACATTTATGTAGGATTTATTGATCAGCAAATTAGACACAAATCATATTTAAATAAATGAAAATCATTAATGTCCATATTGAATATAAACTAGATAAACTTCACTTTTTCATATAATGATCCTCTAAACCATCTAAATATTTCAAATCTTGAGTAATTAATATCAGGTGTGGATTTTTAAGTGATAATCTTTGCAGCATTAAAGTATTTGCTTTTTTCATATTTGTAGCATCTGAAGTTCTTGTCATGATGTTGATTAAAATCGAAAAGAATACTGGTGGCCTTTAAATTAGTTGCTCCTCCTTTCCTCATCTTTTCTTTCCTCATTGATTCATACTTTTTATTTGTGGCATTCATTTTGGAAGCAGGTTTTGAAGATCTTTTTGACTGTTTCCCACTTCAAACAACAGGAATGGAAATTCCTTTTTTTGACAAAACCACAGTGCTTAATATAATGCAATATAATAATATAATTTTCTAGGTCATAACTATGATCATAAAAACAGTAAAGTGCAGTGCATACTATAAACGTTTAAGACTTAAATTCAAGTGAACACTTGAAAAGAAAGTAAGATACTATATATTTGATTTTAACGTTTGTATTTCTCCTGATTTTTGAGCTCTGTTTTTTAAAGAAAAATTTAGAATAATTCAAGACAATTGACTCTTGCCACAAATGGGACATACTTTTGCATTTTATTTTGGAGAGTGTTTTCTGAACATGGACTTAAAGCTAAATCAATAGTCTGAAGAGTTTTGTGGCAGAATTCAGTTAAGTAATACAGGCACAAATAGATTGCACTACATGCAAGTATACTCCCCCATTTTTTAGTCATGGACACTTTTTTTGTGTGCAGACACATCATCTTAGTAGTATCCTAGATGATTCACAGGTAACAATATAGAAATGTCAGTTTCCTTCAATTCTTGTGAACATCTAGATGTCTTCTCAACACCATTGATGTCAAAGCACAGTGAAATTATTGCCTTTAACTAACACTAATAGTAAAAAAAAAAAAAAATCAACAGGAAGAAAACACATCAACCCTGCATCAGACTAACTATGAACTTCTGTTGATTATCCAAGTGGTTTCTTGTCATTGAAATTTCAGTTGGTTAGTCACTTTAAACTGTTCATTTTTGTCAGACTGTCTTTCTAACTTAAGCAAATATTGCAAGGCTACTTTATCAACTTCAAATGAGTTTGAAACATATTTCAACTTTTAATCCCTAAAAATTCAGAGAACTACAGTGAAAAGTTGAAAGAAATACCAAAAAAAAAAAAAAAAAGGCATTTTGTATAAAATAAGAATTGTCTTGGGAAAGAGGAAGCTTAAATGCATTCTGATGTCCAGAAGGTGCTGCAGGAATTGCATCTGGACATTTGAATTCTGTCCATTGATTATCTTGAAAAATTTTCACTGACTGAAGAAAGCTGCCTGTGAGTAGTGCACAAGCTTTCTGTCCAAGCATATCAACAGATTGTGAAAAAAAAGGATAAATGTCTAAAATTCCATTTTTCCAACCGCATTGTTTTGTAACCATAACCATATTTTGTCTCCTAGAGGATATTTAAAAGCAGATTAACAGTGTGTGCAAAAGACTGCTTTAGAATACAAAGGTAGCTGTCTTGAGGAGATCACTCTGCTATTTAGTCCTTGACATACAGGGTCTTGGTAAGGAGGTCTTAATACTAAAGGGAAAGGTCTAGACATAGCAAGAATTTTGTTAAGAATAGCAAACACAAGGTTTGTGCTTGCTATTCTAGATCACAATATGGAAATGTAAACTGGTATGCCCAAACTGATGCACCTAAACTCCTACTGATGCTCTTCTTTTGGTGTATCATACAGCTGAATCAGCTTGTTGCTTTTCAGGCTGACAAAAATTTATGCTCTCCCTTTTTTTTCCCTTACCTAACACAGTCACTGTCTGTTACATCAGGTAGTGTATTAGTTTCTTTTAGTAGGACAAGCAGCACTGTTATTTAAGGGGGCTCATATAAAGAACCTTACAGGGGGAAGGGCAGTACAGAGGCATCAGCACTTCAGGAACAAAGGAGCAGCAAGCCTCTAAATCAATCCTTTCTTTTCCCAAGAGCATTTTTTACTTTGTTCACATCAATTACCTGTTTAGCAACTCAGCCTCAAAGAGAGGAATAGATAAAATTAAAGGAAGATGTGTTACAGTATTGGAAGTGGATGGCTTGGTTTAGAATTGTGCTAGCTTTGCTGTTGAGTAAAAGTATATGAAACTTGCAGTAAGCTTAGATATTCCAACTAAAAAGGTGTTAAGTAAAAATACTGATGAGAAAGCAGTGGGTCTTCTTTTTGAGATCTTCAGGAGCTCAAGAGTTATTTTTTTGCTCTTCTTTTGCTAGCTTAGAACATTCAAATCTTTTGGTGTGAGCTATGCATGTTTGCCTCTAAAACTCACAGAAAAAAAAAAAGGAGAAATAACAGAGTGTAGAGGTGTAGAGATGTTACTGGACCTGAAGGAAGGTGTGTGTTTTTAGTTTTCTACTATGGTTCAAGACATTTTCTACAGATGAATGCTTAAATGCAATGGAAGTTGAGACCAAAAATTATTTTACTCAGTCTGAGAAAAGAACATAAACAGATTAACTAATTTGGAATCAATTCCCATATTAATTACAATTTGAAAAGCTAAAAGCCAGTGGGAAAATCTAATTGAAAAACTAACAATAAACATGGAACATCTACAGCTTCACTACCTTTTCTACATATGTCAGGTGTAAGACTTTGAACCAGCTACATAAAATTAGGTGCACCAAGAAGTACAGTGTAGGGAAATACCATGATTTCTTCATGTAAGAACTAAATTAATTTTTCTTATTTCCATACTTAACTCCCTGAAATTTAAAAATAAGAATGTATTTTGTTAAATTTTCTGAATCACAGATTCTTTTAATCTATTTCTTGAAGGCTTAGAGGTCATTTTTATGGAAACTTTTGGCTTAATATTTCTTTCCTTCTTTATTTCTTAATTGCCACTTATAGATTTTTTTTATATTTCTGAGTCTTGTGACAAAGACTAATATTTCAATAAAAACCTTGAAAATTTCTCCCTGTATGATCCTACCTTACCAATAATCTGGTTTTCCTACAATCATAAAAGTCCTCTGAATTAACACAGAAGACTTCTAAAAATGGGTTTTTTTCTGAGTTTATAAAGAGAAAAACATTTTTGCTAAGCAGACTGACAACTTCTCAAATAAATTATTCACAAAAGCAGAGACTTCAATCTCTTAAAATTTAGTCTATTAAAATTCAACAAAAATATTTAGCATATTTTGATCATAAACACTAGTGATAATCAGGTCTTACCTTTGCTCAGTCTTCTTTTTCAAGGTAGTGTCTTCTTGCTGCTGTTCTAGTTTTTAAACTTATGGTCTTGAGAATTCATTAATAAAGCAGTTGTAAGATTTTTCATCTTTGGTAAGATAATTTTGTAAAATGTTCTGCCTTTGATATCCACCCTGATGCCTCCATCAAGGCAATTTGAGAGCATCTGAAAGAAAAGGGAGGTGTTTTGTTTTATTTATTTTTGGCAGTAGCAAACCACAATTTTAGCCTGTGTTCTTGGAGAACTGGAAGGGAAGGAATGAGTAAGATAAATCACGATGTTACTATATTTTCTGAAAGAGATATTGCTAGATCTTTCATGTGGTGAAGCAGATGCTCAGAAAAAGCATTGAAGTTATCTGTGGTACAGAGACAATGTATCTAGTATTATTTGAAGGGTCATTCAGTGCATCAGCTCCTCTGTTTTTATGAGAGGAGAATTTGTATCCTGAGTAAACATGCAATTAAAGGGAAAAAAAAAAATCAAAAGATCACTGCAGACAGTCTATCCTTAAACTGTGAAACTAAACTCTAGGAGAAAAATCTGTTTGCAGGCATGCAGTTAGCTTACAGATTACATCATGTCCTTCTCATCTGTGTCTCCTTACAGAGATGACATTTCCTTTACAGCAATGTGTCTTCTAAGAAGGCATCAGTGGCTTGTTGGCATGACCCAAGACATATATAGAAGTACATCAGAACTATAAATTCCTAAAGAAGGAGTCATAGAATCAGAATAGTTTGTGTTGCAAGGGACCTTTAAATGTCATCTAGTCCGCCACTCTGCTATAAGCAGGGACATCTTCAACTACATCAAGATGTTCAGATACCCATCCAATCTGACTTTTAATGTTTACAGGCATATCTACTGCCTTTCTGGGCAGCTCTGTTCAGAGTTTCAACACCACCATCATAATTTTTTTTCCTTGTTGTCACGTTCCAATGTGCGGAACTGAATGATGGATGGTCAGGAACTAAATTAAGCCAAACAAGGCAAACATTACATTTGAGAAGCATTTCTTGGTAACGAAAGAGCAAAATAAAAATGATTTATTTAATTAAAGAGGGCTAGAGAACATAGAGCAAGAAGAAGAAAAATGGGAGAGAGAGGGACAGAGAAGACAGAGCGAAAAGAGAGTGTTGTCACTGTCTAGAGACTGGGGAGTGGCCTTGATGTCCTGAGGTAGGACTGTGCACACAGCCAACCTGGGCACAGCTCCTGCAGTGGCCGGATGTGAGAGGGGAAGGGGAGTGGGCAGGAGGGCAGGAGCCTGGACAGGGTCACGATGAGGATCACAGTAGTGGGCAGACTCAGAGACAGATGGGGTGGATGCAAGTGGCTCAGGCAGGGACACAGAGACGAAGCAGGCCAGGTGCTGCTCTGGGACACAGAGAGGCAGGACAGATGTGAGGGTGAGCAAGAGCCAGTGAGGGCAGGAGACCCAAAAGGCAGAATTCTAAAAGCAAATTTGAAGAGCCTCAGAAGAGTCGAAAGGAACAACCCCAAAGAACTCCCCAAGGGGTATGATGCAGCTACTTTTTCTGCTCCTGGCTCTTCCCAAAGTCTGGCTGCTGACAGGAGACCATTGGCCCAGTCCGATATCCCAGATATTGGCAGAGACCTTTTGCCATCTGAATGGGAAGAGTCTCTGGGGTACAATGCCTTCAGTGTTCCCCTGCTGACTGCCTGTCCCATACAGGACATGAACTGCTTGCCAGATGAAGTCCCCCCAAAGACAAGGCTTTCCTTCATCTTCTCCTGGCTGACTCCTGGACATGGCGCATGTGCAACCCCTTCCCCACATGCCTCTGACCATCTTTGTTGAGGCATAACAAGACTAAAACGGCTCCTCACACTTGTAATTAGTCTGAATATATTTCCTTTTCATTTAAAAAATCATTGACCTTTGTACTAGCATAGTAGGCTCTACTAAAATGTCTGTGGCCATTTTTCTTTATAAACCCCATCAAGTACTGAAAGGCTGCAAGGGGGTCTCCCTCGTGCCTTCACTTCTCCAGACTGAACAGCCACAGTTCTCTCAGTCTTTCCTCATAAGAAAGACATTCCACTCCTCTAATATTTTTTGGCTCTCCTCTGAACCATCTCAAACAGGTCAATCAGCCTTTCCTGTTCTGAGAACCCCAGACCTGGGTGGAGAACTGTACCTGGGGTCTCATGAGAGCAAGTGAGGGAGAATCACCTCCCTCGAACTTCTTGGTCACACTGCTTTTGATGCAGCCCGTGCTTCTAATCTTCTCTCAGAAATGGTAATAAGGTCAGTATAGACCCCAAAGAAGATTCTTCTTTTCAGCACCACTGAAAACTTTTAAAAGTAAAATAATCAGACTGTTTTGGAGCAATGACTTATTTACATGCATATCCCATCTGTGTCAAAAGCCTGTAACAGATGCCTACTTACTTTTTTTTGCTAGTCAACTGCACATGGCTAGGGTACAAGTCTGAGAACTTATTCTGATGATTGAAGACAAAAGATGCCCATAGGCATAACATAATATAATTTGTGTCAATGAATGAATTCCCAGAACATGTTTGGGAATGGTTCTGGGCTTCAGCACAAGATACTGGCTGTTTTCAGCAGACATTAACCTTTGAGAAGGAAAAAAATGTTGTCTGGATACAAACCACTACAACCTACTAGCTTAAGTGCTGAAAAAGTTTTTTACTAATTATAGCTTTTGTGTTCATAGTCTGTGGTGAATTTTTGTTGTATAAATTGATTATTTTCAGACTATAATAAAAGGAGATGAGCTGTTCTGCTGCTTACTTGTGTATCATGTCTCTGAACTGTGAACAGTATTCAAGAGTTAGTTAGGCTGAAACTTTATACAGTAATACATTGGAATTTAGCTGTATATATGTTCTCATAGCTATTATTTTGTAAAAATTTCTAATGCCTCTTTTATGCCTAGAATATCTCTGAGATGTTACAGTCATCACTCTGTATCTAAACTGAGGATTGACCTCGTTCATCACTTTGTGTATTTATCTGCATTTAATTTCTTATAATGCTTTCTTGACTAGTTTTTAGAGTTTGCAAAATTGTTTTGTAATATTTTTGGCTGGTTTTAATTTTTACACTAAGAGATAATTTTGAATTATTATATTACCTACAACCCCTTTTAAAAATCACTTGAGAATAAGATGTATACTACTACTTGTAGGATTCTTGTTAGGGTTTTTTATGCCAGAAACTTATATCAATACCATGATATTGGTATTGATATAAAATACCAAGACTTGATATAAAAGACCAATTGATATAAAAGACCAATATATATAGATATAAAAGACTAATACTTATAAAATAGCAATATCTTGGTATTTTCTTTGTATTTTTTTCATGTTAATACATGAGAGAAAATTTCCTCTTAGCTCTTAGTAGTCTATATGGTTTTATGTGAGGGGTCAGGGAACTTTTTTTAAAAGATCCAAATAGAATTTTGAGTTTACTTTGAACTCCTTCCTGAAACAAGGTTTGTGAATACAGCATCTAATTACCAAGTTTTGTCCTATGAGAGAGTAAAGAGAAGAGACTGATCTAGGAAGTGAAAATGTGGTCGTGTTCATAGTCCCACATAATCTGTTCAACAGTATCAGTATTTTCTCCCAAGAGTAGAAACTGCTAAAAAATACCTCTAATGACCAAAGCAAAGCAAATAAAAATTCTTGATAATGACATTTTCATCAGTAAAACTGAAACCCAGCATCCACAACTAAAATATCCCCAAACCAACCCAATCAAAACAAAACAAAAAAAAAAACTCCCCCCAAAAAAAAAACCCCAAAAATATCACCCAAACATATTTCTTTAGAAATAAATAAATAGATTACATTTCACAAGTCCTAAGGGATGTCTCAAGTACGTGCACAAGGCAGAAGGAGAAAATACAAGTAGAAGAGAACTGAGAAAACTCAAGCTGCTTTGACAAGATCTACAAATTTGGAGGAGTGGGGTGCTGAGTGTGCTGATTGAAATAATTCTGAAAGTTGGTAACACATCAACTACATATTCCCTTCTCCCTTTCATCATGGAAGGAGTCACAGCCTCTGAGAGCCTACACAGTGCCAAGTGCACCCATGTCCCTCTGGGAGCCATCTGGGGCCCAGCCAGGCTGGACTAACAGCTGGCCAGACCTATGACAGCAGCTGGACTTGGGTTTGCAACTTGAGCATTTGCAGGTCATTATGCTTTGCACCTTTGGAAAACATTGGAGCAGGTATTTACAGAGACAGTAAAGTGGATTTTGACCTCTAGTCTTTCATTATACTATAAAGGAGGATTGGAACAGAAAATGACTGGATCAGAAGTTAGTCTTATTTTAAGTATAAGTCCATGTACTGTCAAGTCCAAAATCAAAACATGCCACAGAAAAATGATTATGAATCATCTTTATAAAGGAAGATCACCTTACTTAACAGCAAAAGTAAATGAAGCAAAAGATTTATCACTGTTGGAATTCAGTGATAAAATCCAGTGAAATCCAGAGCTTTGGCTCATAGGAGATTCAGCTGATACATAATGCAGCATCTTTCTTATTTTCTTCTGTACAGTCCCTAGCACAATACATTCTTTCCACAACTTTATCTTTATTATGCATCTCTTAGAACATTACCCTTGCATTTGATAATTTTTTTCTTTTTTTTTTCCTCCACAAAACAGAGATTGCACTGTCTTGTCCCTGAAGAAATGAGAGATAACATTTTTGGTTTATCAAAGAGGCAAAAAGTAAAATGACTCTTTTATTCCTGATTTCCAGAGCATTATGATAGGATATGAGGACAAAAATAACTCAAAGTAGCTCACCAGAATTTTATGGGCTTGAAGTTTGTGATACTGATACATTAGTTGAACAAGTCAACTGTAGCTTATTTCTCTGTTGGAGGTACATCAGGTCAGAGAAGCCAAGAAATCTTTCAAAGAAATAGAAGTTAATGCATGAATGTATTAATTTTCCTTGTCTTTATATTGCATAATACTAGCCATACTCATAAATATATACAGAAACATATTTACAATGTGACCTGCTAGACAGGAAAATGTTAATCAATAGAGAATCTGACAGAGAAAGTGTAAGAGCACTGAAATTTGCTGTGGTTTTAAATGGCAAAATATATGCACATGTATTAAACGTGCTTTCTCTATGTTGGGATGCACAGTTTTGAAGATAAGTGCACAATTTTCTGCTTGGAGTTCAATGTATGATTCTGCAGTATAAAATTATGCTATTCAGTCATTAACACTCAGGCAATGTCTATTACTTTTACACATAAACACTTCTAGTATTTTCACTATGACATTTTAATAGCAGAAACTAAATAATAAAATCATAGAATGATTTCAATTTGAAGGGACCCTAAAGATCATCTTACATCAACTCCCTTGCCACAGGCAGGGACACCTGTCACTCGACCAGGTTGCTCTGAGCTTCATCAAACCTGGCCTTGAACACCTCCAGGGGTGTGGTATTCACAACTTCTCTGGGCAGCCTCTTCCAGTGCCTCAGAATTCTCCCAGTAAAGAATTTCTTACCAACACCTATTCTAAAGCTACCCTCTTTCAATTTAAAACTGTCACCGTTTTCTTGACACTCTCTCCCAGTAAAAAATGCCCCTTTCCCTCCTGTTTATAAACCCCCTCTAGGTACTGGAAGGATGCAGTGAATTCTCCATGAAGCCTTGTCTTCTCCATTCTGAACAACACAACACTGAAAATATATTCTTATCCTTGATTTCACACAACTGCCTCTAGGTATTTTCTTTCTTATCTACTAGAGGCATCATAAAGGGAATTTAAACCTACGGATAATGACTCATACTTCTTCTAGATGGCATATAGGTTAGTGCTGCTGTTCATAGTCATGCCAATGCTCTGCTAATTACAAATATTTCTTGCCAAGTAAAACATCTATGATTAGAACACGGAGGCCTCCAAACCTCTTAAGTGGTATGTCCCATAAAATAAGCCATCTTTTTTATTGTCCTGTCATGTTGCTGGCTTTCCAATGAAGATTAAAGGGAACATGTAGCTGTGATCTGAAGAAAATCTAGTAAATTGAAGAAATCTTACAGTATACCAGTAATATTGTAACAATTAGACTTATATTAACAACATATAGATGAAAAGACATTACATACACATATATTCTCCTAATGAGCTGCTGCTCTGTAGAGATGCATTTTCATCAGGCAACATGTTCAGTGATCATTATTCACTGGTCCTAGATCAAGAATAAAGTAAAATATGCTGACACTCTTACAAAGGAACATCTACAAAATATAATCTATCAGAAATGCATGGTCTTAAAGGCAGTTAAATGGGAATGTTGTTTTGGAAAAGTAGCCCAGTGTACTGTAGTCAGTTAATTCAGATCCTCTCACAACTGGCAATATGGAGCTGACTACAGAATGTGTACGAAATTGACAATGAAAATCATAGTCCTCCTTACTTTAGAACCTGGGATGCAAGATTTAGTGCAATATTCTGTATGGCTACTGTTGTGTTAAGAGTAGCACAGTCTGAAAGAAAAAGCCCTCCAAAACCTTGTTTTCCATATGGGTCTCAGAATCAAAGGAGTTGGATGTGACTAGGCTTAATTCCTGATTTTAACCAACTTGGCATTCTAATTCTGTTTGCGTTCCTAGGTGCAGCAGTAGTGTGGGTTATATCATTAGATTGGTCTCATTCATGATCTGATCAAAAATTCACCAATAATGTAGTTAACCATTGCGACACTATGTCTGGTTGACTTCAGCAAGGACTTTCAAAAACATAGATTTACCAGCAGTTCAGTTTTTTGAGCAACAAAAGTTTTATATTTTTTATATTGCTGGTAATAAATTCGCTAGAGCTGCAAAATATAAATGTATAGTGCTATTCAAAGGTGTTCCCAGGTATACCTCAATGTGGTTGGAGGTACAAATCTTACCAAAGTGTCACCCCTGGTTTGTGGAGGAGAGAAAAGCAAATTCATCATTTTTTTCTGTAAAGTAGCTGTATTCTTATTCTCTACCACTGAGTATTTTAGATGCCCAGTTATACTTTTGGGAGAAGTGGAGATGTGACTCTAGTCCAGTATTTTGTCCTACCTCCATCGTAAAGGGCATGGGGAAAGCCAATGTTTATGTAAAAGAGTGTAACAGATTTACAGACTGAGGGTCTTGCATAAGGACTGAACAGGACCATCACACATTAGCATCATTCCCTCTTTTCCCTGGTTCATTGCAGTGATAAAGGTCATCCAGCCTCCACCTGATACTCTCTCACCTTCTTCAGCATGGCATCATGCCATGAGCCTCATGCCTCATGGTATGTCTCATGACTGTGGGACTGATTTCCTACAGCTGTCTATGAAAGTAACATTTTATTATCACATTGGGGTTTGACCATCCAATCCAGTGCCCTCCCTTTGAGGTTTTGTTGCAAAGGCCTTAGAACCACTGCTCTAAAGGAATTTGAAGTTCACTCAAGTGTGTTGAAGAAGTTCTTTGAATTTTATCCAGTTTGACTGCTTGTTTTTTTGGGTTCTTTTTGATGCCAAACATTAAGGTTTACATAATAGCAAAAGAATGTAAAAAAGTTGTCAAAAACAAGGGAACCCACTGTATGTGTCTTATGCTTGAATACTAAATAATTGTATATTTTGTGTTCTATTTCTGTATGTAAATTTATGTCATCAATATCATTTTCTAAAAATTGTATCAATCTTCATTGCTTTGTATCTTTAATAATTTTTAAAGATGCATTAATGATATGTAAAATCAATATTCCTGACATTCATTAACTTGCACTCAAATTCAAAATTCAATTTGAATTTCAAATGTCTGTCCTAACATTCAGGTACAGTGGGTATCAAGTAACACAGAGCTGCCAAATTACCAGCACTACTTAACTTGTCATATTTTTACATAAGACATAGAGTAAAGGAAAACCTTCCTCACTTCTTTCAACAGGCCCTGAAGACAAAAATTCTGTTTTAATTTCAGTAAGTGTTTTCTTTCTTGTCCAACATCTTTTCAAATTAAATAGACAACATAGGCACAGTTTTCTGAAAGATCACTTCCACAGCTGAAGAAGTTTTAAGAAGACTGCATATAATTGACAATACAGTCATTGCTATTTTTACCAATAAGATTCTATCCATTTCAATTATACCAGCTTAGAACTGAAGTGGCAAATTGCATCCTCTGGAAACTACAGAACAAACTAAAAAGTGTTTCAGTGCCATTGTTTTATGAAGCTCTTTTCTTATTTCTGCTTCACCTACACTTAAATGACTCATATTTTTGAGTAACCTCAGCTTTCTCATCTGTCAGTGAGAAGTTCAGGACCCAAGGCAAAAGGACTCAACTGTTTTTTATTTTCTTTTCTTAAAGGGACAAACAATCATAATAATGAAAACTGTAACTTCATTATTGTCTCTTGTTCCCTCAAGCACCACTCAAAAGCGGTATGCTACTAAGAAAGAATTATTTGAAAGATTTGGTTTTGTTTTGCTTTTTCTTCCCTTGAGGACAATTTCTGCCAAGAATTTCTAGTTAAATATTTTTGAAAGTATCTAGCCTTATAGATACTTTTACTGCATGAATAATTGTTGTCAGGCTACTTTATTGTTAGATACAAATATCTGTATTATCTGATCCTATATAGACATACCTAATTCTCTCATTCACAGCGTGTGCCTCCATAACTTACTTATCAATGATAAATATAAGCATGAAAACCTTGTTTTCATCTTGGAAATGTCCTAAGGCACTCCTGGTTAAGCATACACATTTTGCATAAAAGGAATCTGAACTATGTGTGACAATTAATTATCTGGAAACAAGAGCCATGAATAGTTCAGAAAACCTAATAATTGCTTATTTAAATTAAGTCAGAAAAATATAATGATCTAAGTTACACATACCCCACTTGAATTACTTGGGAAATGAAATCTTGAAAAAGTAATCCATATATTGTGACATTAGAGCAATGGGGTTTTTTTCATACTGATTTTCTTTTCTATTTTTTGTTAGTCATCAAAATGAAAGACAAATATGTCTTCAGTGTAATTGGAAAATAAATCCAAAATAATGTACCAAATATAAAATTTGGCAAACTGCAGTAAATTTTCTCACTTGCACCTTTATTTCACATCCTTCAGAAAAATGCAAAAAAGCTAATCATTAGGAAATTACAAGACAAACGGAGAAAATAAATTACTGAGTTCTTTGACACCTGCAAAAATGACTTCATTTACTCACATATAATTTTCGGTTTTTTTGGAGAGTATTATGGATAGTATCTAAATAGTTTGCACGAACAATAAGAACCTTCAAATATAAGAAAAATATAACGGCTTCTTTTTTTAATATTCTGGCCCAGATTTTGTTTGTGTGAAATAACCACATTTATAAACAACAACATATATTTCACAGATAATTACCAGCTGTGTTACATATGTTGTTTTTATTCCTTAAGAAGATTAATCTATGCCCT